TAATAATAAAGTATTAAAAATGCAAACCCACCCTCAATGCCATCCAGAAACCAAATGGAAAACCCTCAACTACTGTTTATACTCCAGATCCTGCTACCAGTGCTGCTGCTGCTGCTGCTGCTAACACTACAGTGGCTTCAAGTCTTCTCTGGTCAATATTCTTCATCTGTGTTTGCCCTTTCAGTTGTCTAACACACTTTTAATTCAGTCTACTCTGTCGGTCTGATCCCTGAGGTCTCACTTTGTTGAGTTTGTGGTCTAAACTGCAAAGCCTTTCAGACAAATTTCTAATATTTTGGTGGATATGAATAAAGCTGCTTCGACTGCTAGCACAGCTCCTGATGAAACCAGTGCAGCCAGAGCTCCCAGCGGCGTTACTCAGCACAAACATGACCGACATGTCTCCACGTAAAGGGTTAAAACACACCAACAGCCAGGAACACAAAATACCAAGAAGCTGCAGGAAAACAAGCTCTCACCACGAAAAAAGGTAAAAAACACACACTCGTACGCAGGCAGGAAACCTCGAAAAACAACCTGTTCACGGGTCAGTCGGGAAATTAAAAAGAAGCACAACGAGAGGAGAAGAGATGAGTAGAGGCAGCACAGAGCAAACAATGTTTTAGTGCCACGGAGCAAGGCATGAGTGTTTGCTTTGGTGCGCTCCTGCCCCCTGCTGGAGAGTGAGCGAGTCACCTCGGGTGGGCCACACACACTGGTCTGAGGGGGTTAGGGTTTGGAGGCGGGTCTTACAGGGACGCACCTGTGGCTGAAAGGTGGGTCGAGGCGTCAGTCTAGGAGGAGGGACAAACTGAGGAACTTTGATTGGCTGGGCGGTGGTGGTGGTGGCCTGCACCTGAGACAAAACCACAGCAGATGGTGGATCTGTGCTGACATCTGACTGACATGTCCACTGCTGTCAGCTCACATCTGCACTTTCAACAGGACTGTGACACGACACGTTGCCAAGCGTTTGTGCACAACAACACAGGCTGGGGGACTGAAACGGAGCTTCAGGGCCAACGTTTTGAAGGATTTAAAGACTCTCAAGTTGGAGAATTTTGCACATCGTTCCTTTTCTTGGGTTGTGGACAGTTTCACATTCACAGATTTCATTTAAAAAAAAAAAGTGAACCCCTTAAGTAGGGCTGCACGATATTGTTTCAGCGTCGACACTGCAGGCAAATGAACTAAAATGCATCAAGCTACAACTTTTATGCTGATTTTCCATGAATAATCCACAAGAGAAGTCTGTCTGAGCACATCAGTTACTCCAATTTAAGGTTTTTTTTTAACTTCATGTAAACAAAGGAAAGTGTGTTGACATACAGGTTCGACATGTGACCAGCAAAGCGAGCAAGAAACATTGAAAACTAAGATTTGACTGCAAAAAAAAGACATGCAATGTCTCCTTTAAGGCTGCGTAGTTACTGAATAATTAATCAGGATCACAGCTTCTGTTTCTACTTTTGCCTGTAAAACACTGAGTAACATCTGATGAAGTTCTTTATTAAAAACTCTCTAGCTTGTTCACAAATAAATGAAAAGCTCATGTAGATAAAATCAACTGGTTCCAGACAAACATCTTTTTTTTTTCACACACAAATGTCGACCGTAGCCTGCACACGAGGCGTTCAGGGACATCTGTACATTGCAGTGACTATCTTTAAGTATCTTTAAGTAGATGTCCAGCCAGTGAGGTGTTGTTTTTATAATTGTATTAATATCTGAGCCTCTACGAGATGCACCGATTCAGGTGAAGATTATTTAAAGTCTTGTTTTTATGGAGATTAGCAGGAACGTAGTGCAACATGGGAGTAGAAGCGGCGCTCAGTTCATATAAAAGTGCAATAACAAGAATCGTGATCAAAAATAATCACCTTTTTGACTCTAATCATGCAGCCCTGGTCAGTTTTATGGAAATCTCTGAGCTACAGAAAGGACGATGTTGACCCAGAACAGCTACTCGTTAAAACAACTCACCAGTTTGACCATTTAAATCTGCACCATGAAGCTCTGTGTGCATAAACAGATCCACAGAAAACTATGCTGGATGCCTTTGCCAGTGCGACACCATATGAGAAGGATTCCAAGCAGCTTTTTTTTTTTTGTATTTCCACTTATTTTTGATTTCCTATGCAGATGCACTCGCCTACAAGATCACCTCAATCCATCTCTTAATTCCTCAAGTTATTTGAGTCATCTGCTGGAGATTCCTGTACTTTTCGATATATATATATTGCAGAAAAACAAAATGTCTCAGTGTCAGTTTTTCCAATATCATGCAGCCCTACCCCTTAAGCTCCGAGCTTTGTGGAATTTCTGCCTGAGAAAATATTAACTCAGCTGTGAGGCTGTAGCTGAGCAACCCTGGGCTCAGTGGATGAGGGATGCTGGGGAGAATTTTAAAGTCTTTCTGTCTCCATCAGCAGGCCAGAGCGAGACAGCCAAACGGCGAAATAACGGTGACTCACGCCGAGCTGCAGGACCTCTGTTTGTTTTGCACGATCGCTTGGCTCGGTGCACATTAGCCGGACCCGTGTGACTGCTGGACCGGTGCCGTCGGTCTGGCTGCTAAGAGGCCACCACTCGCACCACAGCCTGCTTTTAGAGCAACATCCTGCAACATCCTTCCCCCTGAGGGCAGGTTAGACGCCCGCGGGCCGACACACAGCTGTCGAACTGCTCGTCTACGTTCAGAGGCTCTCCTCAGCTCTACACATCACAACACAAACACTTCAGTAAGTCAGATCAGAGAGAGGAGCCGGCGGCGAAGAACCGGAGGGCCTTACCACCATGGCGTTCTTGGATACCAGCCGCACGGGCTCCGAGCTCTGGTTGGTCAGCTTGCTGGCCACCTGCAGGTTGATGGGGGCGTTCTGCGAGTCGGGTTTGGTGATAGCTGTGGTTACCATAGCGACGGTGGCCGGGCGTTGCGGCAGGACGGAGCCGGGCAGGGCGGGCGTGGCGGCAGCTTTCAGCACCAGAGGTAGAGTCTTCGTGGTGAGGACCGGCGTGACTGTCAGGGTCTGCTGAGGGAGAATTGAACCCAGCGGACACCGAGCAGGGAGACGTTAGAGAAACGTTTGTCACATGTTAGAAATAAAACACATAGTATAAGTGTTTACGGATGGATTTGTGTTCAAACATGACACAAATTCCAGAGTGAAACGACAGCTAGTAGCAGCGAGGATACTTTAAAACTTAACTTCACTTTGCACTATTCAAACAAACTTGACTTTAATAAGGAAACCTACAGAATCGCCCTTTAAGTCTTCACATAATTAAAACACAGCTGTAATTAACATCTTTCTTCATTTTTGCTAAATCTGTGAACATTAATCTAACGTCCAAATCAAAAATCTGTATTTTCATAAATCGGAATTCATTCTTTAATAACTTTTGACCATATAATTACACCATTTTTTGCTGCATTTAAAAAGGAAAAATTACATATTTTTTCAAAGATATGAACAGTTTTTCTTAAGAAAACTCATAAATAAATTAAGGATTACAAAACAGCAAACAACTTTTTTAAACTGTTATTTAAAAGAACTTTCCTGTTTTGTTTGATTACAGATAATAGCAAATGAAATAACAGAAAAAACACATATTAAGCATTAAAAAAAAAAACGCTGTAAAAAAAAAAACAACTGTAAATATTATCCACATCAAAAATCTGTATTTCTATAAATGGTAATTTGTTCTTTTACAATATTTGGCCTTTTTTTACTGCTTAAAAATAAGAATTGAAAAAAAATCTTCTTTAAAAAAAAACAAAATAAAAAATAAATATTTGACTTTTTTTTTTTAAAGATTTTTTTTCCTTTCATAATCTTCTGGCGCCCTTGCTGCAAAATTTTTCCTTTTTTTTTTTTTTTTTACAGTGCAAGAACACTGTCACATTAAAAGGAAAAACTGTTTTGTTTTGTTTTGTTTCCTTGAAATTTTTTTAGCAAAATTGTTGTCAAACCTTTTTTGTTTGACTGTCGGCTCTACTTCAAAACATTTTCTTTTCTCATGAGCTATTAACAGACTTCCCTTGTTATGTAAACGACAGGTTTAAACTCATTTTAAGTCCTGTTGTGCTGCGTTTCCCACCTGCTGCAGTCCTCCAGGTATCTGCTGGCTCTGCAGCAGGTTGGCCGGCTTGATGTCGCCGCCTGCTGGAGGAGTCTGGACCTGCAGCTGCAGCTTGGCCTCTGGTTCCTGCTTCACCAGCAGCTCCTTCCTCAGCTGCTCCACCACCTTTTTCTGCAGAGGAGAGGACGCGATCAGTGTTATTTACAGCAGCAGCAGCTTCTGTTTTTCTGGACTCCCACAGGTGTGTTTCTGCTGTCACTGCTCTCCTCTGATAAAGGTTACACACTACTACAGGCTAAAACGTGTTCTCATGCACTGCTCAGTTTACAGATTTTGGGCTTTTTCAGCTTCAATAAAATGTCTTTTTTTTTTTTAGCCTGGTGGAAAGAAAGCATCTGAAATACACATTAAAGTGTTTATTTTACTGCTTTATCTACAGGACATTTATGAAAATAAGTGCATATTTAATGAGATAATACATCATTTGAATATTTTAGAATTTCCTAAAACTTCTGCTGCAAAGCTGTACTTAATGTGTGTAATGAACTGAGGAGGTTTCGTGGTTCAAACCGTGGCTCCCAATAAAAATGTACAGAATTTTACGACAAATATCTTTTCCTCCTACGGATGCATAAATATCCACTTTAGCGGCTCACATTCACCAAAGTTCCCAGTTTTATTCTTGTTTATCGTCGGAAGGGTTTTACAGAGAGGGCTGTTCATGCATTATTCACAGGCTGATTTATAGAACATTTTCTTCCTGAAAACATGGAAAAAATAAACCGCCAGAAAAAAAAAAATCAATTTTCTCCGACAGTATTTTCTGATTTATGGAGCGAAGGAAAGAGATTTTCAAAATCCCCTCTGCAGAAACCTTTGACTCTGACGTGTAAACAAAAAGAAACAAGAATTTTGAAGCCGTTTCGTCCAAAGTTCAAGTAAATTGATGCAAACTAGTGCACGTTTATACCTCACAGGTGTGATCACTGGCTTTCCTGTTTGTCGCAGGTTTTTATGAATTAAAACTACGTATTAATTCATTTATCCTCCAGTTTTTCTTTATTTTATCTCCTATTTGAGTCATGATGATGAATCCTATTTCATTGTGTGCTTTTACTGCGTGGAGCGCTCTGAAGTGCCTCGTTGCCACGGCGCTGTGCAAATAAAGTTGGCTTTTGAAAAGGTCAATAATCAATAGTTGTTGCAGCTGTGACGCAGAGCTCCGATCTGATTGGCTGCTGCTGCATCTCGTTACGAGTCCGCAGAGATTAGAGGAAGAAGAAGAAGACGGCGGCGGCGGCAACGGAGGAACAGGACGGCGGTACACTCTGTAACGTGGAGTGTTGGAGCTCAGCGGCACACAAAGCTGCTGCTGACGAAGACCATCTGTTGCTTAGCAACACTCGACTCTCAAGCAGCAACTTAATGCAACGATACACAATCATAAAGACGCCCAGAGAAGAAAAAGCAGCGAAAAGTGCCTGATTCTCGTCTCGGAGAGCAGCCTGACCTGAAGCCTGCAGCCAATCGCAGCTTCACCTGCTGATGGCTGCTGCTGAGGGACGTTTAACCCTTTAAAGCCGGCGGCGGCGGCGACTGCAGCAGCAACAGCTTCACTTCTCGCTTTAACCCTCTGAACCCCAATCAGCCTCTGCTGCCGTCACATCTTCACTCACTGAGGGCTCATTCCTCACGGCAACATCAAGTCCTGCACCTCGACATTAAATTACCATAAATCACACAGAAAAAACTAAACGAGGAATCCACATGTACAACGTTTTCCCACAGGTGTGTCCTATAAATACTGGAAAACTGGTGACTCCACATTCATCCATAACCTATACGCCCTCATTAGGGTCGTGGGGGGCTGGAGTCTATCCCAGCTGACTCAGGGTGCAGGCAGGGGACACCCTGGACAGGTCTGGTGACTCCACATGCTACAGATAATTAAATATTTACATTTTTAATTAGTGTTCATACTTGTTCTGCCTGCAGTTCAGCCAAAAAGGTTCTAAATTTGTGTCACATTTGCTCCAGCTGAGTCACTGATGACTTCACATGTAGAACAACGAGCACAATATTTTTTTACAGAATTTAATCAGCGCAAACTGTTTATTTCTAACATTTCTTTTAAGCGAGATCTTTAGAATAAAGTCATTTTGATGTAATATTACAATTTAAAGGCTTAGATTTGATTAAGTTCGCTAAGTTCAAGGACTGTCAGACAGTTCTTGGTGTGTTTACGGTTTCTGGATCATAAATGTTGTCATGTTTTTTACAGATAACATGCCTTTTAAACCTGCAGGAGGGTTTTAGGGGTTCAGAAGGTTAATAATATCTCTGCAACAGAAGAGTAGAAAATAAACTGTTGCAGAAAAATTCTAAATCTCTGCCACAAATCCCTAGAAAGCGTGAATTTCTCTGCTCACAACATTAAAACACAACCTCAGAACAACAAAGCAGCCCCGTCTTTTAATAAAAATAATAATGTTTACACGTAGAGCACTTCTTCCTAATAAATTTAGTGGTGGAATTTAGGAGAAACTATAAAATTAAAAACAGAAACAAGCGACTGAATCAAAATTAAAATAGATGAAACTACACACCCAGCCAGCCTGATGCATTTTAACAGAAACAAGCATGAAACTGAGGATATTTCAGAAACCTAGTGGCAGGAATTTATTTTTAAAAGGTTTAAAACATTGAGAAACATTTCTCAGAGCAGCAGCATCTTTGTTTTTTATCATCATTATCAAGTTTCAGCTTCAAATGTCTTCTTTCGGCGCTCGAAGCACACGAAGCAAAACTGTAGAAGTTGACTTGTTTTTGTGCTGCGGTGGCGGCAGATAGTTCAACCTAAAGGACGCAAATACCCCGAGACATGAGTGGGCGTCCAACCGACCCTCGAACAGAAGCAGAATTCACTTTGGACACAGTTCTTTGTCTTCTTTTTTTGGGAGATAATCGCTCTAAGTTTTGTGGACTCCGGTTCCCATAATGCTTCAGGGGATGTAAAGAAGACATGTCCGGCTGAAGCTTGAGACAGAGTTTGAGTTTTGCTTTTCTATCCTGCAAACCGGAGCGTAAAGCCGAGGACTGGGTGACGTATGGAGGTAGTTTATTTACCTGGAAATGTTTGTTTTTGCACAGCTCTGACAGTGAAACACCTGAATCACAGCAGCAACAGAAAACCTCAGCAGTGAACTGAACCAGTGCAGTCAGACGCAAACAGTCTGAACAGAACGTCTTCTTTACTGGGACAGTTATTTACATCATCCTTTGATTTGTGCATCAGTCGATCAGGTTGTTTGGTCTCTAAAACGCCAGAAAATGCTGGAAAATATCCGTCAGTCTTGTTATATGAAAACAAATGTAGTTTTATCCACAACCTAAGTACATTCAGTTCAATATTAATATTTTATTCTACCCCTTTTTATCTTAATATTTAATTATTCAACTTTTTAAAATCTTAATATTTCATTATTATTGTACTTATTTCATCTTAATATTTTTTAACTGCACTCATTTTATCTCAACATTTTATTAATATGCTTCTAGTTTTATTTAATTCTTCTTATTTTATTTTAGTCCATTTTATCTCCAAATATTATTATTTTACTAATTTTTAAATATTTTATTTTTATTTGACTTACTCCATCTTAATATTTTATTATTCTACTTATTTAATATTAGTTTTTCTTTATTGCACTCATTTTATCTCAGTAATATATTACATGCTTCTAATTTTATTTAATTCCTCCTATTTTATCAAATTTATCATATTTTATTTTTACTCTATTTATTTTATCTCCAAATGTTGTTTTATTTAAATAATTCATCCTAATATTTTATTTTTATCTGACTTATTTCATCTTAATATTTTTATTGCACTCATTTTATCATTTTTTTTTATTAATATGCTTCTAATTTTATTTAATTCTTCTTATTTTATCATATTATTTTATTTCAGTCTATTTATTTTATCTCTGAATCTTATTATTATTTTACGAATTTTATCCTAATATTATATTCAAAATAACTAATGTTATTGTACTATTTTACTGGATTCTATTTGACTTATTTCATCATATTATTTTAACTCATGCTACACATTTTTACATATTTCATTTGAATCTACATTTTTATTATATTATTTAATTTTTATCTTATTATTTTATTATTATTACATTTATGTCATCATGATATTTTATTTTCATTGTATTTATTTTATCTACTATTTTAATTTATTGTATTTATTTGATCATATATTCTATTTCACTGGACTTATTTCATCTTGATATTTCAGTTTATAATTCCATGTGTGAAATCAGCTCATAGCTTCGTTCTGTCTCCAGATGTTTTTATTTCACTGTCAGAACAAAGGCAGAATATTGTCCCAACATTCAGAGCTTCTCCTTTAAGATCTTTGAAATCTTTCTGGTTTGCTGCGTCTCCATATTCACACTGCCTGTGTGCTGGTGACAAACAGTCAAATAAGTGACTGTGATGAAAGCGTGGAGCCATTAACATCATTCTGCTGCTCGCATCTCATTTGCATGTTAACATCAGCACAGTGACAGACTGAGCAGAGACTCGCTGAAAACACCTTAAAATGTTATGTAAGCAGTCTGCGTGCACAAATACAAACCCAGCTTTCTATTTTTACCAATAATCTGACTAATGTGTTCTCATTCAGACACTCGCAGCTGTACAAAGTGTTACACCTCATAAAACCTGTAGGTGTTATCGAACGCAGCTTTAAAAGGCACTAATTCTTGTGTGGAAGCAGCTCGGACCGAGTGTTTCACAAGAAGAACAAACACGGTAAAATATGCAGGGAGCAGATAAAAATAGGAGGCATGTTGAAAGTGGTTAAAAATAAAAACACAAGACACGAAAAAACAACACAGGCAACAACAAAAGAGCCGCGAATCAAAAGAGTCTTTACACAAAGATGTTCATGCAGCTGCTGCTGAAACTGGGAGCGTCTGAAAGGCATGAAATCACATTTTTTCACATCTGAAGCAGCACGAACAGGCACATGTTTACAATACGACGATTATTATGAGGTCCAGATGCAGAATGACCACAGAGAGACACGGAACAGACACAAAAAGACAAAATGACTGAAAACAACTCAGAATGAGCACAGAGAGGCACACAGGACCA